CATAGAGCTTTTCCCCCTGAAGCAGAAAGTGAGAAGTGATGACGTAGCCATGATGACGCTGAGCGCGCCAATATAATTCACAGCTTGGAAATTAGCGTTTTTGAACCAGCGTTTAAAATGAGCTGTGTGTGAAAGATAGCTATAATTTGGAAGAGGCAATGTTACTGCTTTATGCATTTTAGACTGAACCATTAAAAAATTTAATAATGCTTACTCAATTTTAAAATAATAGATAAAATGTGCTACTCTTTTAACATAAAGTTCCGTGGTTTTTTTTTTTTTTTTATTTGCAGGTTTTTTTTTTTTATTAATGCACGTTTATTTCTAATCATTTCTTTATTTGCATGCTAACTGAGAGAATTTTTTACTGCTTCTAAGATAACTATAATAGCAGCTATTTAAATTTACTCAAAAAACAACTTTACATTGACATAGGTTTAAACATATATGACATATATGGCAACATTTCTGCTAACCTACGTTTGATTTTTTGCCTAATTGTAAATTTTACATTGTTATAATTCTCTTCCGATTCAATATAATAGATATTTTTTTAAATAATTTTGTAATTTATACTTATATCTATATTACAATTAAATAAATGTATATAAGATTGTTACCTTAATTTTGACAAAATAGCTTTATTCAGAGTACCTAAAACAAATTATTTAATTTTTCAAAAGTGTGAGTAAAGGAAGCAGGTCTTTTTATGCCAATTACTTTGATGTTTTATACTATTATATTTTATCTAGAATGCTAATCTAGCACAAAATCTAATCAATAATTAGTTACAAAGGATACAATAAGAATAACTTTAACAAGTACTTAACAAAATTAGTTTGTTAAATACTTGTTATTCTTGTTGGTACTATTCATAATACCGAAGATATTATCGATTAACTCATAGAAGTCAGATGCTTTCTGATTTTCCTGTGGGGTAGAGTATACCTTTTGCGGTACTTTTTGAAAATAATGTTTTCTCTGGAGCGACTTTTTGTCTCTCGTTTCCCTTGACCATTAAATAATTTGGTTTTAGTTTGTGACACAATTTGATTTCTTCTCAATCTCTATTTAAAACCTCTTTAATAATATCAAAATTTAAAAAACAGTTACATCTTCTAAAACAAATCCTCTATCTAAAACGCGGTTTCTCAGTAATTTGAGGCAGAGCGCGAAATGAGACCTCTGATTAAAACAAACTGCACATTTTGAAAAGAACCAACTTAGTCCAGTTTAGAGTCATAGCAGAGTTTTCAATCTATATGCATTTCGTCGAAACTGAGAACGCATATTTTTTCTACAGAATACAAATATTCGCCTCTTTCCTTCTTTAGAGTAAGAACATTACTTTGAATTCTTGGACTACACTAAAATTTAGAAAACACTAAAAAAATAAAATAAACACCATTTCTTTAATTTGATAATACTAGGTAAAGATATTCCAATTTTTTCTTAATTTTTTTTCTTTCCAAAAATCATAGCTTTAAGATGACAGAGCTCTTATGACAATGCAACGTGAAATATTTTCACTAGTCCACCTGATTTGTTTCTTCTTTTTCAGTAATGCATTAATCTGCGTCTTTATAAAAATAGGCTTTAGACATTTTCCAAATTCTCCGATTTGTGCTTCCCCCCCCCCCAAAATTTCGCTATTTGAGATTTTAATTTCTGATACCAATTTCTGTCTAGATGTCGTCCACCTTCTTTGTCGCTGAACAAACATTCTAAAATTTTTTTTTCTCTATTTTTCAATACTTTAATACAATTTAATACAATTTTCTAAGGATATTATTTTGTTCTTCAAATTATCAATGCATTCTTGTTTATCCTTAAACATTCAGGATGATCTACATTTTCATTTGTGAGTTTTATTTCAAAATCATTAAAATTTGATTTATTATTGTCATCATCAATTTCGATTTATTATTGTCATCATAATTTACTTTCGGCACAGCATTCCATTTCAACAGTTTCTTTTTGTGGCTATCCAAACAAGCGATTTTTCATATCATCTTCATAAACAACTGCATAGAAAATGTTCGCTGCAGATTTTTCCGCTCTTCACATTAATAGAATCTTCTCTTTGACATTTGTGTATCCATTCTTTCGTCAAAAGCAAACTCTCATTTGGATCCTTTGGTCCCATGAAATAAAATATCTCATCCTTTCATACTTCTGTAAGTGCTACGGCACGTTACTGCATCGCAAAAAGCCAAAAAGCCATATTACGTAAACGATACTTTACAATATAGAATTTAAAATAAAAAACTGACTAAAATTACATATATATAAATTATTTTAAATATATACATTATTAGAAAACAGATATATATATTATTAAAATTAATTTGGGATATGTAACCTCTAGAAAATCGTCTCGCAGCTCAATGAAACTACTGTTTTAAACGCGGGAAATCAGGACAGGTGGCATCACAGTGACGTCAGATTATTGCCTGTTACGTCCCCCCATTAGGCTCGCGTCGGCGAGGAGTCGAACAAAGAAATGAGCTAGCCCTTCTATTTATCCCTGAGTTTGATACTCTGCCACCTTGCCTCCGGGCACCACTCCATCGGCAAAACCGCATTGTAGATAGGTGCTCTGTCCTTGCCACCAGAACTGAATGGGGTTTAAACCCCCGGGAACTCAATCGACAAATGTACCATATAGCTCCACCATAGCCGACGGAACAGACACGACAGTACCAGTACGGTCCCTGCCAAGCCTGAACCAACCTGAGTACAATACTCGGGCTCTAGTCCTGTGAAGTCAAATTATATACCCCGTGGTTGAGACTGCCTAGGTACAGATCCTAACCAGTACTTCCCAGGCGTTCGCCTGAGTCAACCCCCGGGGGGGGGAATATTTATAATGCAGATAATTTATGGTGCCAAGGTGAAATATTTACAGTTGCAGCTCGTTCCAACTTGCGGAAGGAAAAGAAACCAGTATTTTGTATCGCCACTTAGGCTTCGATAGTTGATGCTACACGGCCCGAGAAGATTGAAGAATCGTTGGTAGTATGTTTGGGACATACTTGTACATGCAGTTTTTTTTTTTTTTTTTTTTTTTTTTTTTTTTTTAAAGCCAAAGAACATTTGTGTTATAGTCGCGGATGGTTCGTACTATTTCAGTCTCCATGTGCGATCATTGACTAGATGTATTGAATAAGGGTGTATGTGAGGAAGAAAGGGAACATAGCGGCTTTCCAGGAATTGTTGGTCGATGCGTATCACAAGCCATCGCGCATTGTCCTGTTGGTGCTTGGCTCTTGGTAGCTTGAAGATAAGGTGCAGCAACACCTCTAACACTTCCGAGATAACTGTTCATCATGTCAAAATGCGCACTAGAACGCTTTCCTAGTACGCTGAAAAGAACTAGTATCCAATGACCTCTATGTGGTAGCATCAGATTCCGAAGAGTTTTGGGATGCAAATGCGAGACTCATTCAGTTTATCGCCGCGGTACCATCAGATACGGATGCAATCATTACATTGTAGTGTTTCTCCCTTTTATTCTACTAAACTAAGTGTTGAGGAACCTAGTGAACTACTAAGGGAATAATCGCTTAAATCCAAAAAGAGAAACTTAAACTCAAGAAGGATTCATTATTATTTATTTGCTCAAAATAAAGATTTACAGTCTGCCCCTTTCTCAGGGCTGTAACAAAGCCTCCGCTTGGGCTTCAACTTAAAATATAAGGAATGAGAACTAACTAAAGAGATTTAGTCGAAGTTAACACAATTCTAAACTACTTGGCCCGTAATATTAACTTAGCCAGCGAAGCTATCAAAAGTCCCGTAATACGGCCGAGCGTAGTAACAGAGAGACGAGGCCAAAAGGCAAACGTGCGCTATTAAAGAATCCTAACTCTCTCACGTGAAGTCAGTGGAACTTAAATACTTTTTACTTCTCATTTGCATTCAACGCAATTCTAAACACTCATTCTGGTAAAGAATTGTAAGCTGAAGCTAGGAGAGATAGGAAAGTGTCATAAACTTAAAAATTACAGTTTTAAAATTAAAATGTACCTTACAACATGTACCTAAAATTGCTGTTTGAAACCGTTTTATGGTTGCAAACAGCATGAGTAGGTCTGGTGAGACGATAGCATGTCATTCATCCTCCATCCTATATTTTAAGCAACTCTACAGCTGAAGCACCCGTGTTGTACAAAATCAAAAGTGGATGACTCGATAAGATAAGCTTTCAGCAAAAACATATCGATGTAGCAAACATTGTAATCCTGTGTGCAGAAAGCGAGTGTTATGCAATACATTTAATTCTTGAGCCAAGGTCTGTGATAGCTGTGCATACGAGATATATGCGTTGTTGTTTGGTAATGTACTAGAGCTATCTGGTTTTTCATAGCGCATTATGTACATTTTCTGGCAAGTTATACACATTTCATGCTTAAAAAGGCTGTGCTCGCGTTCCTATGATTTACGATTTCGACGCTGATCTTTCTATATATATATCTATTAATATTTAAAGAGTTAACTTTCCTTCCTTAATAATAAATTATCTTTCTTAATTTTATATTAGATCCGTTTTAATTGTTATTTCTTCTTATACAGAGTACTCCATAACTAAGTTGTAACGGCAGATTAATACTGAATTCTGATGGAATTTATTGATGAAACATGTGTTATAAACTCACAATTTATCCGACATTTGTCAAGTTTAGCAGTTATTTCTACAATAAAATTACTTTCTGATTTAAAAGCAAAACATATGCAAATCGTTGGACTAACTAGTTTTTCGAATAGTGCCAGGAATAAATGAAAGTCAGCTTTAACTAAATTGATCTTTAAATATGTACATGTAATAAAATGTATCTTCTTTAATTGTTTTGATCCTCATTTTCCAACTAAGTAATCCAACGTCTTTTCTCGAAGAAGGAGATCGATATTTTCTTTACTTGACCTGCATCTGTCGCTTAGGAATTGAGATGTATTTCATGTGAGATTGAATATCACTCTTAATTTTTTTTCCCTTACAGCTCCCTCTGCTGCGCCAACGGATGTGGCTGTCATAGCAACAGGACCAACGAGTGTCTCCGTGACGTGGAAGGTAAAATCTTATTCTTCACACAGAATGACCGATTAAATGGTACTCAACGTAGTTTTAAAAATCAACGCTCCACATTTTGGCTAGTCATAAAATATTTTATCATTTAAGTGACTGAGAATATCAGTTTTATAACCCCTTTATTAGACTAAACGTTGAATTCTGAAAACATACTTTAAATTCTGTGGCTCACCTTTGTTTTTGGACACTTGTGTTTTTTAATTTTATTTGAAAATATCAGTTATTAAATATTAGTGAAATGGCGTTACTTTTACCTATATTACTGATCATCTTTTTAAAAGTTTACCTGTTTTCAAAAACGTATTCATAATGTTTTTTGGGAAAAAAAATGTATTCAAAATGTTCTGAAAATGAACTTTTACAAGTATTCTGATATTTTTAGTAAACAATATGTATTTAATAAAAACAGGAAAATAATAGGACATAACGGAACGTTTCGTTGGATATCCTTTAGCTAAAATTACACATTTTGTGCGATTCAACAAATTTTTTCGTGTAAAAATATTCGATTCCTTCGTAGGAATTGCTTTTAGTATTTCGAAGAAATGTCATCTTTCCTTATTTTTTTCTAATTCTTGACAGGCCGGAGAACGTGGAGAAGTTTCGATAACTTCAGGACAGTTGTATAATAGACGAGCAACATTTAAGGCTGTATGCTTAGGATCGTTATCTTGATAAAAATTGGACTTATTCTGTATTCCAAGTTTTCTCTCAGCTGCTTTTAGTTTACATTAAGAATGTTTATGTATTTATATTGATCCATATTATTTTCTATAAAAACTAAATTTTCCATCCTAGAGCTAACGGAACTTCTCCAAAACACTGCGCCTGCATCTTCATTCTTAACAGTAGTGTCTTCGGATTCAATTTTTCATTAGGCTTTCGCCACACAGCGAAACATCCGCAAACCATTGTGCCTGCATCTTCGTGCTTAACAGTAGAGTCTTCGGATCCAACTTTTCATTGGGCTTTCGCCACATAGCGAAAAGTCTTCAAACCCATTGTGCCTGCATCTTCGTGTTTAACAGTAGGGTCTTCAGTTTCAATTTTTCATTGGCTTTCGCCACAAAGAGAAACGTCCAAACCATTCTGCCTGCATCTTCGTGCTTAACACGAGGGTCTTCGGATTCAATTTTTCATTGGGCTTTCGCCACACAGCAGATCATCCATCGGAACCAAATATATAAAATTTGATTCGTTTGCAAATATAATATTGTTTCAATATGATAAATCTTTGCTTATCGCATTTTCTTCGTTTTCTTGTTGATAAAAATATTCTTTCTTGCTGATCATGCATTGTATCCATGTGCCGTAATGTCTCTTCTAACAGTTCCAGATTTCACTTTTATTGCAAACCTTTCTTTTTAAATGCGCTGCACTAATTTTTGGATTTTGTTTGATTTTTCATAGGGTAAGTCTCCGATTCGTTCATGTTAGTTTGGAATGTGGTCCAGATTTTATTGTATTTTCAATAGTTCTGTGCAATTTGCATCGTTTTATATAAGGGCGAGTCAAATGAAAGTGAGCCAACCCCTCCTCAGCAAGAATGGTTCGGTCCATCATCTGCGGCGCATGCGCGTAGCACAGAGACAGCCTTCATTTACGAAAGTGGCGCGAAAGTGTGAGGTTAAAGTTCTTTAAGGCGCTCTTACACTGGGTTGAAGACGGTAGCGTGACATAATGGACGCTCCAAAAGAGGAACAGCGTGGTGTGGTCAGGTTTTTGACAGCTGAAGGTGTTTCCCAACATGAAATTAGTCGCCGTATGACTGCTGTGTACCGCATTGGCCACTGTGAAGCGTTGGAGCAAACGGTTCAGAGAAGGACGTGAAAGTTGCAAAGACGATCCAAGACCGGGCCAAAGCCACCTCGCAATCACCCCCGACACAATTGCCCAGGTTGATGAGCTAATTAGACAAGAACGGAGGATAAGCATCGATGAACTGGCAGAGCGTGTGAACATCAGTCACGGTTCGGTTCACGCCATAATTCATGATCATCTCGGTTATCGGCTTTGTGTGCTCAATGGATGCCCAAGATTTTGAACGACCGCCAGAAGACGGAGAGGTTCGGCGCTGCTTTGACTCATATCATCCGGTATCACAATGAGGGTGACGACTTCTTGTCTGCAACTCTGACCGGAGACGAATCATGGTGCCACCACTACGAACCTGAAACACGCCGGCAAAGCTTACAGTGGAAACATTTGAATTCACCCCCCCCCGAAGAAAGCAAAGGCTGTCATTTCCTCGGGAAAGATGCTATTGACTTTTTTTTTCGATCGTCAGGGGCCATTACTGATTGAATTTGCTAAACGTGGAGAGACTATCAATAGTTCGCGATATTGTGCAACGCTGGATCGGCTGCGTGTCGCAATCAAGAACAAACGACCTGGAAGATTGACGAATGGTGTGATCTTGCTACACGACAATGCTCGTCCCCACGTCGCTGATGTGGTTAAGACACAACTGACAAAGTTCAAGTGGGACACGCTGCAACATCCTCCATACAGCCCAGATTTGTCGCCATGCGACTTTCACATTTTCGGGAAACTGAAAAAACATCTCAAGGGTACCAGATTAGTGTCGGACGACACCGTGAAGGAGTCGGGTACAGACGTTTTGAATCGACAGCCCAAGGAGTTTTATGAGACGGGGATCATGCGGCTCATTTGTCAATGGGATAAATGTCTCAATGTTCATGGAGACTACCTTTAAATAAAGTACTCCGTTTGTCATATATTCGCATTGGCTCACTTTCATTTGACTCGCCCTTATAACATGAAAGGTAGTTGAGCGCTTTACATCAAGGAGTTTTTTCGATATTAATAATTTTTGGTTAATTTTTTGGGTTTTACCGTCTTTAAAATGATGAACTGTTAAATATCTAATAAAACTAATCATTAATTTGCAGCGGTTTACTTCGGTCACTACAGATATGGAAATGTTAATATATTTTGCTAAACAAGTAATAACTTCCAAATGCTTATGATAATTACTGTGATTTATTTTTCATTTAAAATAAAAACTCATAGCAAGATTTCATTCTTTCGATTTCCCGAATTATTTGTTTTGTATAGTAATGAACATTTTTTGAATAATTTTTTTATTACAAAAGATATTTTGATATTTATTGTGTTACAAGCAAAGCTTGAAAAAATAATAAATTAGAAAAAATATGGAATCGCTGTTTTAATTTTTAATACAAGATTTGTCCAAAAAATTTCAAAACTGCTAGTGCCCGAAAACAGATGTGAGCCACATTCTACATGTACGTTACCAAATACTATATTTGAAATATTTCTAATTATCATTATTTTATTTTAAGTATATTGTATGGTCCATTAAAATATTTAGTAATTTCGTACTGAGCAGAATACTTTCTTACTGCGATTAATTTTGATTTGATTTGTAAGATATTAAAATGTTTTATAAGTCATGAAATTCGTTAGAAACTATTATATGTTACAAGAGAATAACAAAAGAATTATAACACTGATTAATTAAATATAATTTTGATGAGGAACGGTCTTTTATTTCTGGTGTTAGAAAAATCTGTAGCCTAATCTTTAAATTTTCATATCATGATCCATTTTTGCATTATGTTATGCTACCATCTCGCCGTCCATTCATCTCCTCATCGCTTTAAACATGCCTAGGGTCTGACAAATCTAGTACATTATTTCACAATAGAATATCAAAAATAGAAAATTCTGAAAGGTGTCAGATTCTCGCCCAAAAAGGTTTATATTAAGTTCTTGCTAATCTCACAGTCTAACAGTCTGCTGTAGCACACATTCCTGCGAACCATTTTTTTTTTTTTAACTGTGCTATTAAGCATCGTTTTCTTCGCACTTACACCATATACAATTCTACATCAAAATTTAAAAAAAAAAAAAAATTGTTTTAAATTAAAAACAACATGCTCTATATGTTTAGAATTCTCGATGCATTGTTAAGTGTTAGTGTACGTTTTATCTATTTTTTTCAGTCTTGTCTCAGTTTAACATATCAGTGTTCATATTTCTTAGTATGGCTTATTAACTTTTTCTGTCTTAACTTTATTTATCAAACAGCACATTATTTGCACTTCCGCCACACAAAATTCAATTCAACAGCAAAATCACGAAATATTTAAAAAAAAAAAAAAAAAAAAAAAAAAAAAAAAAAACGCATAGCTTTAGAATTTCCCATAGACAGCCTTGCGCTGGAGATGAAATTGTTTTATTTCGTACAATGTTGCCACAGCTTGCTTTCAAATCGTTGGTTTATTAATCAAAAATTCTTAAAAGTGTCACAAAATATGAAACAAAAAAGAAAGTAAAAAATAATAAAAAAATTAAAATTTGAAAGGTTTCAGATTTTAAATTGTGTCCAAAGGGACATTTTTTTTAACGTTTTGTGTGTTACCTTTATTTATTAAATATGTTCTTTGCACTTAAACCATAAAATTCAGTTCAAGAGCAATATCGCAAAATAATTTTAAAATGAGCATATCTTTAGAATTTCCGATACACAATTTCGCGCGTTGGAGATAATTTTTTCCCCCGTACAGTGTTTGTTTCCATTGCTCTCTTTGAAATCGTTGAGTTTGTTAATCAAAAATTCGTTAACGTTTTACAAAATATGAAATCGATTATAAAACAAAGTCCAAATTTCAAATTTGAGCTTTCAGATGCCCATATTCGCAGTATAATTACGTCGTTCAAAATTGGGTGGCTCTAGGTACTTTTATTTTATCACAATGCGTGAAACATACATTTATGCAGATTCTTCATTATTCATTTTCTTCAAATATAATACAGGGCGATAGTCTTTGGTGGCAACGATTTGAAAAGTGATACAGCCTTTTAAAGTTTTCAATGCAAAATCGTAAAACGAAAACAATAGTTCTTCAGGGACAAAAAGCCTTTTTGGACTAAAAAAAAAGTGAAAGCTTTCAGGTTTTACATTACGCCCAAAGGGCCGTTTTTCTAACGTTTTATGTGTTACCTTTATTTATTAAATATCATGTGTTTCGCACTTAGACCATAAAACAACAATATCGCAAACAACAGCAATATCGCAAAATAATTTCAAAATAAGCATATCTTTCGATTTTCGGGCACACAATCTGGCGCGCTAGAGATAATATTTTTTTTTTTTTTTTTTCCCGTACAGTGTTGCTATTCCTCGCTTTGAAATCGTTCACTTTCTTAATCAAAAATTCTGTAATTGTGTGACAAAATATGAAGTAGATAATAAAACAAATTCCAAATTAGGGCTTCCAGATGCCCGTATTCGCTAGAGGATACGTTATTCAAAATTTGATGTCTCTGGGTACCGTTGTTTTATCCCTGTCCGAGAAACATAAATACATTTATGTAGATTCTTCATTATTTAGTTTCTTTAAATATAATGCAGGGCTGTAATAGTTCCTGGCATCAGTTTGAAAAGTGAATCAACACAGAAAGTGAATCAGCGCAAAATGCCAAAACGAAATTAATAGCCTTTCTGGGCTAACGCCCTTTGGCTAATAATATATATATATATATATATATATATATATATATATATATATATATATGTCATTCTATGAAAATATTGATTATTTTGTATTAGATAGATCACGAATTAAACGCAGTTTTATTATTTAAATCAATTTCATTCAAAAGAAAGAAACGATTCTTAAGAAATGCATCTGTCGCTTTCAAATAGCATAGTTTGTTAATCCACAACAGGCAGATTCAATATCCAAAAATTTACTGAATAACAACAGACTCGAATGAAAAGTGAAACGACGCATTTATCATGATTCAATGTAAAATCGCGTTTCGACACTAACTTCTCTTTTGGGCTTTTTAAAATGAAAATTTAAAAAAAAGGAAGGTGGCATCTAAAAGCAGTTTGTTCTTGTTAATAATATTTTGATGTTTTTCGGTAACAGAAAGGTTTATTAATATTTATGCTACTATTGAAATTAAAAATAAAGGTACTACCATATGCTGTATACCTAGACAAAATACAGAAAGTTTTCCTTAATTAATTTATGTAAGCTTATATATCCAGACTTGTTTTATACTTTTTGAATATAAGTAAACTATTTTAATTTTTAAGATTAAGCATAATAAACGGTTTTGGTGCATACATTACAAATTTTAAATGAATTTCAGAATATTTCTGTTCATGTCCATGAAAGTTCCAGATAATGTTGGTTTTTATAAGTCATTGCCGTTGGTTTTTATAAAATTTACTGTTATTAATTAATGGACACTATAAAATTTAAAAATTATTTAATTGAATATTTTTTCAATTTTTTTTTAGTGTTCAGAACATTGAAGGAATTCTCTATTTAACTTTTTTTTAATATTTCACACTTCTATCAAAATATTAGACTGAAATTTTCCCTTATTGTTAGAAACAATAATTCAACATAAATGTTAATATTTTGTTGAAATTTCATTACATATATCCTTAAATGGTCCAAAATAAATGATCGATGTATTTCTGCTTTTAGTTATGTGCAGGTTTTGTCATGTTCGCCTTACAAAAGACTGCTCTTTTACCTACAGAAATTACTGCTCAAGTTCCTTAATCATAATTTAATGTGTATTGTTTTGAATTACCTTTTGCATTACTTTGAAGAAATTAATTAGATTATAGTTACATGAAAAGTAAACGGTAAATCAAAATTATTGTGTCTGAAGTTCGTTTAATAGAAATCAATGAAACCGTGATAAATACCTGTATTTTGCACATCTTCGTATCGTGATCACCTTGCTTTATATATTAAATAAATCTAAATTATTTAATCATTAGATTAACTTATCTAAGTAAAGTATTATTTATTGATTATGAATTATATTTATTTACATAAAATTAATTCATTTGATTTCTTACAAAATGGTAAATGTTCCCTTTTGTAATTAGTTATTTTACGTAATACGGAAGATGCAGCTTTTCCATTTTTAAGTTCAATATAAAGGTTAAAAAAAGTGCTTCCATTAGTTTATGCAAAGTATCTTCAAAAAGAAATATTTACACAAAAAACGCTTTTCACGCGGCAACTGGGAACTTGGAAAACTTGCTTGGGGCAACTAGCAGACGGACCAGTATTGATTTTTTTTTCTGCTACCCTACTCCACTGCACGTGTTTAGGGGTTACCATGTTTTCTTACTTCATTCATGAATAGGAATAGGACAGGTTTCTTCTTACAGGCGTGATACACGCAGCGCCAAATATCGCCAAGAATTTTAAACTTTACCTTAAAACAAGACTTACAATATTTTTCTTCGATTTTGATTATTTTAAAATATAACACTATTATACTGGAGCATATTTTTGGAGCTTCAGCATTCTTGCATTGCTCTGTATTGGATCGTGCTTTTGGATCACTAAGCCTCGTAATAAACTAGGATTTTAAAACATATAGGCTGTTAAAAGATAATACCCTTAAAAAATTAAATATGAAAGGTTAGGAATTTATAAAGATAAATGTATTTAGGTTTTAAATTTATGTTTAATAGAGAAATAATAGTAATAATGGAAGTTGAAGTGTCAGTCAAGTATTCTAAAAATGATGAGCGATATTATATCGCCAATGGTTACCCCATTCACACAAACATCGATCGTCCGCAGACCGGTTCAAAACAGCTGGTCGATCTCTTCCCCGATTTCGGGTCTTGATGCATGTCCCTTTAAAAACTAGAATGTGAATCTGCGTAACATCTGCTACGACAGGTGCCGATTGGAGTTACGCTGGTTATATTTTGTACTGAAATAAATTTATCGCCAAGACCTGAATATCTTATTTTGCAAATTCAGTTTGCTAGCCGTTTGCTTGGCTAGCCGCCTAAAATAGTAATTAAAAGGAAAATGTATAATGACTTTATATTGAGACCTGTTTATAATTTCGTTAAAATACTTAATATTTTTAATTAGACATCTCATGATTTCAATGCATTGATTAAATCGATCAGATAAAAAAAAAAAAAAAAAAAAAAAAGAATTCCAAAGATCGTTTAGTTTTGTTAATCAAAGACAGAAGATTGAATTTGAAAGTTAAATATCTTACGTTTTCTCGAATGGCAATACGCTGACGCATGAATAATTAAAGTAATATATTTCAGATAGTGAAAGCACTTTGCATTTAAATAACCGAATTTATTGATTCAATGAAAAATAATACTAAAAAATAATTTGAATTTGAAATCTTTATTATATTTCAGTTTTAATACTTTTTTTTTAATCAGAGGGGCATTTTTATTACGTACCTGCTATTGAAAAACATTAATGAATATACGAAATATAACTATTCATTGCAGCTATAAATATAATACAGTGAAACCTAAGACGACCATTTATGGTTCCAGACAATTTTGGTCTCCTCTGGAGGTAATCGTTTTAGAAAACATGTTCATTGGAGCTGTTATTTAACTATGTTCTCGGGGGGGGGGATGGGGAATTAAAAAAAAGATAAGTTATTTGTCAAAATTCAAAGCCTTGCAGGGAAGATCATCTTGGTAAAGTATGTAATCATAAAACGTGAAGCAACTCATTTTGTTAATTAAATGCATATTTCAACTATTGAACTATTGAAACAAATAATCAGTTCCTTTCCTTAAACCACTGCACACTAAAGATGGAAAATCTCAGTTGTATTCCGAAAACATCAAACATGAATACACACGAGTTTAATAACTCTGAATACCGGTTTACACTTGCATACCATTTAAAGAAATAAATCCACTTCCGCTGTTACTTTCGAAACAGCAAAGACTTTTCAACTATTTATTATTTTATTATGTCGTTTTGTTTTTAGTTTCAGTTTTGATTTGTATTAGTACATATTTTCCTGTTATTAAGTTTGCTACTTTTATTGATGTAATTATTTTAATTATCTACTGATTATATATATATATATATATATATATATATACACACACATAAACATGAAATTTTAGCGTAATCGGTTACAAACTTTCAGGAGAGAGAGAGAGTGAGTACACCTAGACGATTGAAAAACACATAAACAATGCATGGTCGGAAACGCTTTCCTGGCGCGGTACCGACGACAGAAAACACAAGAAAACACGAATAGGGTGAGAATATATGTTTATTATGCTTAGTGCAGCAGGTATCAAGAAATAAGAATATAAATAGACGATCGTCATCAAAGAAGGTGTTCGGAATTCCGTTCGAAACCCTCAACATAGGTTTTGCAGGAGTTGTCCTGACCAATGGCCAGCAAGATCGCCAGATCTCTCTTGCAGTGACTACTTCCTCTGGGGATACGCCAAGACACTGGTGTACGAACCCCACGTTAGAAGCGCTGAGGAACTTTTCGCACGCATAGTGGCAGCTGCTGAGGGAGTCCGGGACTTGCCCAGTATTTTCCAGAACATCAGATCTTCCATGTGAGGTCTGCATCAGGATCTGGGGTCGTAATTTCGAACAACTTCTTTGATGGTGATCTTTGTCTATTTTCGTTCTTATTTCTTGATTGCTGCTGCACTAAGCATAATAAACATGTTTCCTCCCCCTGTTCATGTTCTTCCTTTCTTGTATTTTGTGTTGTTACTACCGCTCCAGGAAAGCCTTTTCGACCTATGTGATTTTCCATCGTCAACCGAAAGTACGCAGTGATTCAAAATCTCTTCACGAGTTTTGCTGTACTCTGATTCAACCCTGTTCTCTGTTTTACGTGCATCCATGTACCTTTTTCAGTCAGAATTCTCTGCATTCGCACTTATGAATCATTCTCATCAGTGCTAAATTTAAACAACAAATCTATTGCAATGAATTATCTTAAGTGTAAGTTCATTATTTCTCACTTAAAAAAATTTACTTATGAAAATTATTTTTTCGTAGGCACCTCCAAGGGAACACTGGAATGGTCGCCTTCTAGGCTACTATGTGGGCCACAAACGGCATCAATCTATGGAGCCATTTGCATATCACACTGTGCCAGCAGGACGGTCCACTCATGCCGATTATCGCCTGACTCGTCTTCAGAAAGCCACGCGCTATTCTGTGGTCGTAAAAGCCTTCAACTCCGTAGGATCCGGACCTGAATCTCACGAAATACTCGTTGAAACTTCTGATAAAGGTTTGACAGTTATCACATTGTTTGACTCAAACGCTTGTGTTTTTTTTTTTTTTTTTTTTTTTTTTTTTTTTTTTTTCAGAAGAAATAGACTGTAGTCCTTTACAAGAATAATTCTTGTGTCATTTCTTCATAATGTAGCGAACCTTATTGTGATAACTACTTCCTTAAAAGGGGCATATACTTGGTTTTCTTTACTACTATTCGAACAAAAGACCTCCTTATGACAACATCTCCTTATGACGAGTATTTCTGAGAACGTACCAACATGTGTATTGAATGTCATTTCTCTAAGACGAATTCTTACATAAAACGCAAAATCCCCTGGAAACGTAGCTAGTAATCACAGAGAGAGTTCCCTGTAATTGCATTTACTGGACTAAAATTGTGCTGTATTTTTTATTCTTGAAATAGCTTGCCATTTTTGCAAACTCGTACAAACTACTTTGAATTTTTTAACTCCTAGAACGGTAAAGACTCAATCTTCTTGTCTTGCACTTCTAAGTAAAACTGTTCCGACTCAGAAGAAGGTTTAAAATAAACATTTTCATTTAATCGTTAGCCTGGCGGTTACACAACCTATGTAATAACAGAAAATTAAGTCTGCGTTTGCGAGAATTCCAAAACGAATGCTCAGTAAAATGAAACTATCAAATTATATGATAAAGCGTACCTACAAACTTTGGCTCAGGCTCTCAAACTTTCATGAACATTAATGGCTTGTATAACTAAAACCGATTTAAGTAATCCAGTTGCAGAGATAATTAATAGAGTTCTTACAAATGGTCTTAACTGGTCCTGCAACTGGAAAACTGTCAGTGATGGCTGCGAAAAGCTCTTTCTCGAACTCAAAAACTCTCCGCTTAACTACAATAACTAACTTGCATCCTGGTGAGACCCAGCGAAAGTATAGACAAAAAAGTGAGATAACTGGTTAATTGACATAGAATCCGACCGACTAGATTAATTTCCGTCATTCCGCGTCCTCTTTTTGTTTATTTATGAAGGTTTATTTTGCGTCTTCTTTTAACTTAAAAACACTTTTTTATTTCTTGAAAATTAAGTTGTGCTATGATAATCTTTACTACTAATAATTTCCGAAATCGTAGTTGTTGCTTGTTTCTTGATATTCGTGATATATATAAATATATCACGATATATATATAAATGCCGATGAATACTGGTAGTTCGATCCAGAGTTCGAGTCTCGGCGAACCGGCTGGCTGTATGTGCGTTTTCTTGGTTTTCTCCATGTCTAACGTAGATATGAACCAGTTTCTCTTAAAAAAATTTACATGGAACATCCCTCTCTTTGTAGTGCCTAATGACGAACCACGTTAATAAAATAAAATAAAAAATAAACAAGCAAACAAAAAATATACTTTAATGAATACTTACGAACTGAGGTAGCATAGTCTCAGCGATGAAAGGTGGAAGGATATTTATTTATTCATTTCTCTCTAGTAATGAAGTATGTTGGAGCGAAAAGAATTAGTTGCTTTGCGAATTTTTGATGAATCTTATTGTCTGTGAAACTTATGATGTTTTGTTCTCTATTAATGCGCAGTATCCCTATGCCATAATTGGTTGCAGCATGAAACAGTGAATGCTTAATTCTAGTCAATTTTTTTCATTTATTCGAGTGGTCATTAACCTTAACTCCGAGTAACAATAGTTGTTTCCACAGTCTGATTTCGAGCCATTTTGGTGAATTCAAAAAGAAATTGCTTATTGATTTTTTAAGCTTTCATTGTTTCTGGGAATTTCCGCCGCGAAAAACACATTATTAATTTCTACAGTACAGTAAATTTGTTTTATTCTTATTTTGAATATTTCTTCTTTAAAACTGAACAGACCCCCATTGTTAGTAAATAATTGCAGTTTTAATTAAAAAATGCTCAAATTTCATGTTTTTGATTGCAACAGGATTCGTGAGAGATTAGAGATTAACAGAATTATGATGAAGAACATTCGCCTATTTGTGAAGATTTCTTTGCAGTTATGTTCCAGATCTGTTCATTAGTTTGTTCGTTATGTAATTATTTTTGTTATTAGTTTGATAATATCATTGACCTTATTTTATGTTCTTCGATGGGGGTTTATTTCTGCGAAAACGGACTTTTTTTTTTTTTTTTTTTTTAAATCTGATATTCATTATAAGGATGAAATACTGGCAGATTTGTATTCGATACATGCAGTTTCACATTTTTCGTATTCAGTGTAACGACTGAATGCTAAAAACAGTTTGCTTGGTAACACTAAGATTTAGTTTGGTTTATTTATATTTGTTTATGGCAAAACATTCGAGGACTATCTGTCTTAAGGGAAGAGATGCCTTCGTGGAAAACTTCTTAAGGGAAACTAGTTCGTATACACGTTACACATGGGAAAAACCACGAAAATACCCATGCAGCCTGCCCTTTGGCCGGGATTCGAACCAGTGTTCCCACCGAACTACCAGTGTTCAGCGACTTTACCGCTCAGCCACTCGTGGGCTGGTAACACTAGGAACAATATATATATTCAGAGCGGATGGTATACAGAAACCAAATGGAATTATGGGTAATGAAAAAAGTGCCGTTTTAAATCACATATTTTATATTACTTTTGGTACTGTATAGCCATCATGAATATAACTGATATTTTTGGAATTATTAATAATGTCGCGCAAGGCGCAAAATGCATTTGTTACATACTTGATGACTTATTTGCTGTGTGGCTTTTACAAGTTAATATTTTTTTAAATTTAGCTTTTTAATTAATTGATTTTCTTTTCGTTTAAAGAAGTTTTCACTTTTAGTCCTTTTTGTATATATTGCGTAACTAATTTTGAGTCACGTCGGCGCAGATTATTACTTGAAATTTTATCACTTTTTTTTTTAATTTCTTAAAAACTTTTATCTTTATTTGTTCTATCTTTAAATAATTTTCATTATTTTAAATTAATTCTTTAAATTTAATTTTCTTGAATTAATTTTGTTTCTTATCCAGGTAATTCGGAAACGTGGCTCTATTGAAAATTCTTCCGGCGGCTCTTTAACAAAGACCAAATAATTTTCAACTATTCTTTAATATTGTGGGAATTTTGTTATATTAAATATACTTTTACCTCGGTTTTGATTTTAAAAAAATTCATTAATTTTTTTAATGGGTGTATAGACGGCGTGTCCATAAAATTTCTTATGCAGCCTTTATTTTCTCAACCGCTGGTCTTTAGACAGCTATTTTCAATGAAAAAATTTTTTTTGTAATTGAATTAATAAACAATGTTTTAAATGACACGAGTATTCATGTTAGAGAATTTTTAAATCTTTAAAAAAAAAAAAAATTCAGGTTTGTAAAATTACGCAATCCAATGTTTTTTTTTTTTTTTTTTTTTTTTTTTTTTTTTTTTAGTGTTTAAAGTTCAATTCTGTGTGTTTTATACAAAAATAACCATATTTCAATGCCGTAAATTGAAGCAAACTGTCTTAAGTACATCTTTTTCCTTTTGATGATTTTTTTCTTTCTTTTTTGTTATAGACAGCTTGAAACCTCCCCACCTTTATGTTTCGGAGACCAGCGACACTGCCGCCCTCTTGGAATGGGAACATCCTAGAGATCTGCCTGAGAATGTGTTCACACGTAAGTACAATTTTTTACTCCCACTGAACATGATTTGTTTCAGTTTCCCACACCCAATAACGAAAGATAGTAAACCACAAGTCTACTGAATATCACGAACGTGAAGTTCTCAAGCAGACTCAGAGGTTATTACCATTAAAAAACCTGCTTTTGATAAATTAAAGCAAAATCATGATAATAAAAAATAACTATATATCGTGAAGTGGAAAGATTATGTCTTGTCTAATATGAAGCTGTTCTCAAGAAGCTAGCGAAGTTTATCCTCGTACCAACTTTGCCATCAGGCGTGGACTATGAATGTTACGAGAGTTTTAAGGATTATTTATGCTGTCTAGTACCGGCGCGTTACTAACCAGACAGAGTCATAGCTAGGGTTTTCAGCGCCCAGGGACAACTGAAGATTTCGCGCCCCCCTACTGCTTACCAAGGATGGAAAACATTTAATTCTAAAATGTCGTAACATCAGTTTGGCGCCCCTTGGATTCTGCGCCCGGGGACAGATGCCCCCCTTGCCCCCCTCTAGCTACGCCCCTGTAACCAGATACCGTAACTCTTTATGTTACCTGATGCTCTTTATGCTGCCCCAAGTCAGCTTCGAATGCATTGCGAAGAAGTTTGATTAGACTGATATATAAGGAATTTGGAAGCCAGAGCAACCAACTTCTGAAACGCTTCCTCTATATCTATGCTTCTTCTTCTTCTTTTAGAGCTCTACTGCATGCTACAGTCCAAGGCTTCCTTTCCATTCTCCATCTAATCCTTATCCGGTGCTACAGCTCTCCATCAGTTTATCCCTATCAGTTTCAAATTCGTTTCCGCACTCTCCAGCCATCTAGTGGGTGGTCTTCCCTTTTCATCGCTTCCCCTCTATTTTTGAGAAGGATATCTTTTTAGTAGGAAATGCATCATCATATCTATAAATATGGCTTAGGCATCTAATACGAGATGCCTTTACAATTTTGACAACATCATGTTCATTATATTCACTATGGATTTCATGGTTATACAATATTCTCCATAGACCATTTTGCTTCACCTGTCCAAAAGTCTTCATTAGAATTTTTCTTTCAAATATCAGCAGTATCCTTTGTCTTGTTAAGTGTCCAGCATTCGCTTCCATACAGAGCCGAAGGTATTACATAAACTTATTTTGGTTTCTATGCTAATTAATTTGGATTAAAGATAGCTTCTAAGTCCATAAAAGCATCTGTTGGCCGTAGAAGTCTTGTTTATAGTTTTAATTTTAATGTCATTGCACCTTGAAATCATTGTACTCAGATATTCAAATTGCTTAATAGTCTCAAAATATAATTGTTGATCTTTAAAGGGAGATCCATGAGTAAATCCATGATTTTATTTGTTACCATCGTAAATTTTATCTTATCCTCATTGATGGTTAGACCTATCTTCCCTGCTGCATATTCAAGCGAGGCAACTGCCTCGACAACAACCCGTTTTGATCGATATCTATGTTTACATAGTGAATATAGATTTTTCTGTTAAAACATTGCCCAGATATTATGCTTTCTCTGCCAAATTGTCCTCCTTTTTTTTTTTTTTTTTTTTTTTTTTTTTCCCTGTTTGTTTCACTTCGTACCCGGCGTTCCTATAATACAGGAGAAAACGATACTTAGCGAACCAAGATGCCTTCAGTTCTGTACTGCTTATTTTGAATACTTTCTGTAGTGAATCGAGATTAACATAAATTCTAAGAGCTATGTAGTAGCATTTTCAACAGCATTCGATCATACATTACGATGCTCTGGTTGATTAGGAGTAAAACTAGTGATTGCTCCATAGAACTTCTTTCGTTGACTCGTATCAGAAAGGATAGGCTTCATTCATAGCATCGAATACTTTGCTGACAGTCTGTGGTTCTTCTGAACCGGGATATAAGAGTTATCTCTTTTTTCGGGGAGGGGAATTAAGATGAAGCCAGCATCTTCTAATTAAGATTAATTAGAAGATGCTGGCTACTGCATCGATGGCTTCATTCGGATTGAAATTCAGGGTGAGGTGCGGGTACATGTTAGTGAAGTACCTTTGCATAACTGGATTTATTAAATAACCTTTCCGTACGAATTACTCCCGAAAATTTGTAGATAGGAGAAGAGAGCTGTACGTTCTTGAAAGATCGAAATTGGGATGGTGCTAGGTAAAAACCAAACTGTGACTAGCCACTGATGCTCACAGTATAATTACAGCTGACGAAAAACGTTCCTTCTGACTTACCCATGATTATTTATGAGGACCTTGTTATTGAGATCTTTGACATGCATAAATCAAAATGCTCCAGATATGGCCGTTTCGAAACATAATTTTATTGCAGGATAATTCACAGCAGATCATCTTTCTGTAGATAAGATACTTTTCAATCATAGTTGAATGCAATAATTTCCATGTACACGGGTTTTAAAGTACGACGTCATCTTATGCAAGTAAGCAGCAGCGTGGCGAGGAACGTCTTGCCAGGAGGAAGCGTAAGCGAAAAAAGACATAGCGATTTAGAGGAAGAAGGAAGGGAGTCAAAATGTTTCAGTTCTGAATTAAAATGTTTTGGTTTACAATTTGGTGATTAGTCAAGAAGTATCTGCATTAAGCGTTATGTAGGATCGCATGATTAATTTGAATGACGCAGTTTAGACTTATAGCGCTATTTTTAAGACTAAGAGATAAAGTCCCCAAATTAAATAAAAGAGGTTATAGCCAATTAAATTTAGAAGTTTGCTTTCATAATTTTAATCTTACATATATACATTCCCATCTTTTTACCCGGCTAGGTGAGCTCAGTATTTTTATTCTTCTATGTTGGTAAATTCCGCCTTTTTTTGCTTTAAAAGGGGTTGAATTATGCTGTTCTTATATTCCGGTTAAGGCTTTTAATTTTAATTCCATATCCCTTAATAAAATTCTAACTTGTTTTCCATTCTAATTAAACTTCTTTGTCAATTCGGAACGATAAAATACTGAGTTAATTTTGTGAGACCTAGGTTCATCATATCTAATGAAACTATATTAATCCTGGTGCATTTTCTTGCAGATTATATGGTATACTACCGCCCTGGGGCAGAAGGTAGTTGGCACAGCGTACATGTTCCCTCCAAGGACAAGAGATTCAAGCTAACTTCATTAGAGAGTGGGACCAAATATCAAGTGTATCTGACTGCCTACAGCGAGTCCGGTGTCAGTGATCCCAGTGACACACTTACATTACTTACAGAAGGTGAGATCCCGAAGTTAAACTATTAACTTTCATTCATTTCTCAGCACACTCTCATTGTAAATACGCCTGTAATATAAGATTTAGATTTCTTAGCCATTAAAATATCCAAATAGTGCAGCTAATCCAGTTGTCACTCACTATCCATGATCGTGATACTTTTCCTTTGTTATTTGTACGACTGAGAAAGAAAACAAAGTGTAACCTGAAAATTTCAAGTGTAAACACCTTGAAGAATTTAAAATTTTAAAAAATTAAAAAGTATTGAAAAAATTAAATAATATAAAATTTAGAAATTAGTAAAGAAACTGCAATTTAATCTTGGCATGCAGATTACAGTTTATCATCTGAAACAATTTTAAGCTAATAAGGACAGACTCACTTGTTTGAAAATTGGTTTTCCAAAAATTGAAGATAAAGAATTTTGCATTTAAAATATGCTGTCCAAAATTTCAAAGCCAAATGATGGATAAAAAATTTGCTATGGTATCATTTCATCCTACATATCAAGGCACATTGAGATTCCTGCATTTAACCTAACAAATAAGAGACTTAATAGTATATCAACGCAAATGGAGACTCGCGCACTTATCTACGTTAATAATGAAAAGACTTAATTATTCAAGAGATACATTCATTAAAATTCTTTACATAAAATGAAATAATGTTTTGCATTTTCACTCAAGAATGTCTTTAACATTTTGCTGTAAATATGAAATATAAGCATGAACGCTTAGTAACTTATGTTAGCGTGTGCTTTTTCACATATCTTAATTTTTTTTTTAATATCAAAGCTTTTAGATTTCACATTACGCCCAAATTGGGGCTTTTTTTTTAACGTTTTATGTGTTACCTTTATTTTATTAAATATCATGTTCTTCGCACTTAAACCATAAAATTCATTTCAACAGCAATGTCACAAAAAACGAAATCCCACGCATAAAATATCCGTGCACGCGATATTAATGTTAGTGGAACGCTTTGAAATCGCTGAGTTTGTTAATCAAAAATTCGTTCAAGTTTTACAAAATATGAAATAGATAAAAAAAAATTCAAATTTCGTCTTCCAGATATTCGAGTGGAGGACTATGTTATTCAAAATTTGATGCTTCTAGGTACCGTTATTTTTTTCACAACGCGAGAAACATACGTACATTCTTGCAGATTCTTCATTATTTAATTTCTTTAAATATATTGCAGGGCTCTAATGTTTGGTGGCAACAATTTGAAAAGTGATCCAGACTTTTATAGTGAATTATCACAAAATACCAAAATGAAATTAATAGCCATCCTGAGCCTACGCTCCTTTGAGATACAAACATGAATGTGCCGATTTAGTGATAAAATATTTTTCTGATTAATAGGAAATAGTTTTTTCAAATACATATATGCGATTTTTGCATTCTATCGAAAGTAATATGCGCGTGATGTATAGTTATTAAACTTTTTTTCTCTAATACGCATTCCTTTATAAAAGATTTATGAGTTATATAAATGCAATATGAGTATTTTTTTTCGTATTGTACAGATATATGAACAAAAGTAACTGCAAAATAAATTATAATTTTCTAGTTATTTTATCGAAAAAAAAAATTTTTTTTTTGTATTTTTATTTAAATATTTTCAAGATAAAGAATTTATTTGCAGTGAAGATATTCTGCATAATACATGTATGTAAACTCTTCAGGTAGAATACAATGTATTCTACCTGAAGCATAAATTTTATGTGAACAAAATATATAAAGATTTTGTTTATTTGATTCAGATATATAAACATGGCCATCTTCGAAGTAGTCCCCTCTTCTATTAAAACATTTTTGACAGCGTAGTTTCAATTATTGCAATTAGTACTGCAGATCATTTTCTTTTAAGACCTTCAGTTGTTTTGCTATATAAGTTCCGATGTTTTCTACATTTTTCAAATTCTCTTTGCAATTTCATCTTTATTTCTTAGAAGCAAAAATCAAGGGACCAAATCAGAAAATTGGTTGGATATTAAAATACAGCAAATGAATTACTGGCGAGGACTTCATGAACGGTTAATGCTGTATCCGATAACGCGTTCTCTCGATACAAAATAAATTCGCTACCTTCCAACTATTGCGGTTGCATGTCATCTCCTATGCCTTTTAAGGTATTCACGCAGTTAGAAGCATTTATAGATTCTTTTTTGGGAAAAATTCATACTGTAAAGTTCCACAAATGTCGGGGGCGGTATAATGCTCATAATTTAGAGTTTTTCTTCTCAGGAGGTTCAATTTTTGTTTGTTTGTTGTTATTGTTTACGGTTTTTCTTTCATCTCCTATACGACTTAAATGTCAGGTCGTATTCGTAAGCACAAAACTGACGATTCGTAATCAACTATCGAGAGAAATTAATTTAACCACTCAACACGGAACTTGGGAATTCCGTGTTCCGAAATAGATTTCGATATATTTCTATTCCACAGTCAAACATTTTGAGCGATCTTTTCTTACAATTTTAAAGTCCCAATCACATTATGTTTCGGCTATGCGGGACTTGACGTCGAAAGGGACAAGTCTCAGGACACGCACAATTCCAGAAAACTCACGTAGCTATGTTACCATTTTCACTTACTACGAAGACTTGAACGCCAAACAGTAATCGATTATCGCTCAGATCGAGATCACGTGATATTTCCAAAACAGAATTTTCTTCTGATTGGTTGTCTCTACCCGGGCCAGAGCTCCAGCCGAGACATTTTCGGTGAGGTTTGAAAAAATCCCACGTAACCGCAACATCGTTTCCGTAGCTAGGCGAGACTTCGCTTCCAGAGAGGCTCTTTTTTCTAGGAATCCTCCCACTTAAACTAGTGATACTAGAATCTTGTTTCTCAGAAAAATCCCGTCTGGCAGGAACTGTAGCCATATGTGATAACCTCTTAACTGTGTCTCAGCTAAAATCGTCTGGACAGTCGTATTTCCTAAATTTAGCCCTTCACTAAATATTTTAATGGTTAGTCATCGATTGCATTGTCTACAAGGAAGTGTGTGAGCGATTGTCATGAACGAGTGCTGATAAAGGTTACCCTTCTTTCATACCGTCAGGTACATCTTCCTTACCTTCTTGGTGGCATTTAACCCAAAGTCAGCAAACAAACTAGGTTATACCAAAGAGCCCCCAAAACCACCAAATTCTATGTTTAGGTTCTTCCCAACCTCAAGGCAAGGCACTACTTTAATCGCTTCAAAAGGATAATTGTCATCTCATTTAACAACTCCGAAAATCAGTGAGCCATGCACTAACGTGATGGAGGAAAGCATCAGATAGAAAATAAACGCAGGCTTTGCGGCGACCTGCGGATGTCTGAATGTATGGAAATAACCGGAGACTTCACTGTGAAAGGATCCTCATGCTAATCCAGTTACATTTCATTCCTATGAATGGCTGTCTTAAAAACCTCAGCATACCAGTTTGCCCAGAGGCCCATAACGCTGTTAACTCTTTCGCATCGAGACACGACCAAATCTGTTTTCAACAAACATCGAACGCCGTGTTTACGAATTTGTCTTGGAATAGTTTTCCTTTCCCCCTTCCTGCTCTTGGAGGTTTTTCTGCGGTTTCTTCCATTGTGTGCAGTTTCACCTTAGGGCCGGATTGCACCTGCGAACGTCAGTAGCTTTCCGTATTTCTCCTTTATTTGCTTCAAAAGAATGATTTTAACAACTCGCAAAACCAATGAGCCATACACTAACGTGGAGGGGAAAGAACTAGGTAGAAAATAAACGAGGCGTTGGGGCGGTTTGCCGTTGCCTCAATGAACGGGCGTTACGGGCGACTTCGATGCGAAAGAGTTAAGGTAGCATTGGCTGACTGTGGTAAATGTTAACAACAACAACAATAACAAGAAAAAAAAATTGTCTTTTAATGCACTTAATTAAAATTTGTAATTTAAATGCTAACTGTTTTCCTGTATTTGCACCAGGGTTAGATTAGCAGCATCCAGTGATTTCACCGCTCACTTGACGGTGGGCCTTTCAAATTTGGCTTACAGTCAACATTTAAATTTCTATTTGACTTAGAAATCCAATCTAATGATCACTTAAAATTATAGGCCTCCTAAAAAAAAGATTAAATCTTTGATTAAAAAAAATCTATCATTGTTGTTAACTGCATAGTACTTTAAAAATCGAGTAACTTTTAAAAAACTGCGAAAATTCTACAGGTTAGGTTAAAAACTCCGAAAATATTCATTTGGAAGAATACTTTTTGGTCTACAAAGGGACGTAAAAATGAAAAATGCCCGATCATAGTTTGACCACTAAACAAGGATTTATGAAAACCTTTAACTGTGAGTAAGGTTTTAGTCGTCTCGGATTTTGATGAAAACGTTCACTGTCTCAGGATAACGTTTTTGGAATATCAGTTTGCCCTGTTTTTTTTTTTTTTTTTTTTTTTTCCTCAAAAGAAAATTTGTGAGATGGAATAAGAAATGAGAAAGATTCTTTATTCCAAAATTTTGCCCTTGTTAGCGGGGAAAATATCTCCGTGGGTCTGTTTATTTTTCTGCTGCGAACATGTAATTTTTTTTTTTTTTTTCCAGTTGGTCGTTTGGCTCAGTCTGGTGTATTCTTGCGGAGATATTCTTGTGGTGACAATTTTTTACCACCATTTTCTCGCCTCCGTTTATCATCCCTCCCAGATGGAAATTGTTTTTTTGCTGAAATGTAGTCACTCGTATCGTAGTGGACACAAGTAATATTATCTTTCTTATTCTTAGTGGCAGTCCTTGCATCTGTGTGCACTGATTTCAAGCAGGCCTTTTTAAATTTTAGATGTGATAATGTCACACACAGAACAGGAATATAACACAACAAGAATATCTCTGACATATTCCGGGCTGGCTGCATGGGCGTTTTCGTGGTTCTCCCCATGTGTAACGTGTATACGAGCCAGTTTCCCTTAGAAAGTCCTCCACGAAAGGCATCCCTCCCCTTAGGCAGATAGCCCTAGTGTGCTTTGCCGTATTCTCAATACACCT